TTAGCAGGGCATATGGCCACTTTTCTGGTGGCTGTATTTCCTAGCCTTCTGTGTAGCTGTAAATGGCCATACGAATAGCGTTAAGCGATGAGCTACGAATGGAAATGATGTGTGAGACTTCTAGGCCACTTCCCCAAGGGGACAGCATGAGACTATCACTTTCCATTTTACCTTTCCTCAAGGCCAATATACAGACAGGTTGGCAAAAAATGGAATAGTTGTCTTAGACCCTGAGATGGAAGCCATGTGATCTATACTTCTTGTTTCATTAAATAAACATTAAATAAAATATTTCTATCAAGTAACATTTTCTGATGTATTCTTCTTCTAGTAAGTAATAGCAGAACATGATTTCCTTATAGATTAAATACATTTTTGCTGTAAATAATGGTTTTCCTTTTATTATAATTATTTCTTCAAAAATCTTTCTTCATTATTACTTTGTGAACCTCTTCAGAGCAAGGACCACTTTTAATTTATCCATTTGTCCCTGGTGTCCAGTGTAGTGCCTCGCACATGTAAAATGCTCTATAAATATTTGTTTATGAATATGAATAAGTCAGTGAAATGTAGCTCACCACAGGTAACATTTGGATATTGAATATTGTACTGTCTATTCTGGGAATTCCAGACCCTGCCTCATAGTTTTATTTCACTTAGGGCAGCATTTTGTAGGTCTGACTGTCATCATTCATCTGTTCAGCACTGGGGATTTAGAAATGAGCAAGATTGACACAACCCTTTTCCTCATGGAGCATTACTGTCTGGTAGCTGACAATTCCCTAGACCTGAGATCACAAATATTCCTTTCATGATCCTGTGACCTGTGCTCATTGGCAGTGAGGTGGTGTGTAGAGAGCATGTGCTGTGGATCTATCTGGATTGGATTTTACTCCTGGTTTTACCTCTTTGGGCCATGTTTTGCAAGAACTGTGCGTATTACAATTACTCCTCCTCTTGCTTTTCACACTGACCACAAACTTGACCAATTTCAACTACACTTGAAGACACACCATTTTAAATAAATGAAAGTAAGAATTTTATATATCAATTAAATGAATATAGTTTATTACATTCTAATATGGTACACGTTTATGTATTAAGATTATAGTAAAAGTGAGAAATTAATCATAAAAATTACAAATTATAAATAGTTTAATGTTATCTAATGTATTATACAAAACAGTTCCCCATTATTTAATGACTAACTTATGTGTATATGTGTGTGCTTGTGATATTTATAATAAACACTTGTATATATGTAGAAAAATTCTGGAAAGATGTATAAAAAACCTGCTAACCAAGATCATCTCTGGAAATTAGTGGCTAAAATTTCTAGTGATAAAAAATTCTTTTTATTTTATATGCTTCTTAAAACTTGAGTTATTTATATGTATATTTATTTAATTATAAGCAACTAGTTTAAATAGAAGCCATATCAATATATTAAAATGTCTAACCAAACAACAATTAGTTACAGAATTGTATGTGGCTAATTTAATTAAGTTTCTTGAGAACAATATTCTGAAAATTCAGAGGAAGAAATTATTTATATATTTTACTCCAGATTTATATATAAATTATATGTAATGAATACTTTTTTGATATAATGTTCTCTTAGTGAAACTATCAAATTGCCCATTTCTACTGGTGACCTATTCTACTACTGTTTTGCTCATCTAAATTTTGACAAATTTAATTAAGTGAAAATTTCTTTTGGGTAATTGAATTCTACAATATTCTGATCTCTATAAAAACAAATCTATTGGCCAGCCTTGGTGGCTCACACCTGTAATCCCAGAACTTTGGGAGGCTGAGGTGGGCGGATCACCTGAGGTCAGGAGTTTGAGACTAGCCTGGCCAACGTGGTGAAACCCCGTCTCTACTAAAAATACAAAAAATTAGCCAGGTGTGGTAGCTTGCACCTGTAGTCCCACCTACTCAGGAGACTGAGACATGAGAATCTGTTGAACCCAGAAGGCAGAGGTTACAGTGAGCCAAGATTGTACCACTCCAGCCTAGGTGACAGAGTAAGACTCTGTCTCAAAAAAAACAAAAACAAAACAACTATCTACTAAAAAATGCTTTGTAGTTTCAACTGCAACTCTTGAATGTATATTTAATGCCAGACGTATCAGTTAGCTATTGGTGTGTAATCACTCTAAAACTCAGTGGCTTAAAAATCACCGTTATTTACTCTTGCTTGTATGTCTTTAATGTTGCTTGTATGTCTGCAGGACAGCTGGGCCTCTGTTGACCCAGGCTGGGCTCAGCTGGGAGGCTTTCTTTACCTCAAGCTGAGATGGCTAAGGGGGGTTCTGTATTTCATAGAGGACTGGGGAACTGGCTGGATAAAAACTCTTGAGGGCACATTTTTATGTGATGATAGTGTAAGGGAGAACAGAAGCACTCAAGGCCTAGGATCTGGACTGGCACACTCCCACTTCCTTCAAAAAAGCAAGGCATATGGCCAAGCCAAAAAGTCAAAGGGCAGGGAAGGACACTTTCTCATGATGAGCATGGAGTAGTGTGGATAGTGCAGGGTTGAAGGAACAGAGTCCCCGAGGCCGTCTGCCACATCAGATTAGATTATGGAAAACTGGCATAGAGACTTCAGTGGACTGAGCTGTGTGGATTCAATAGGAGGTAGGACAGAGGGAACAGGATCTGTTAAGTGAAGAAATGGAAGTGCTTGTGAGAGGAGTGCTGAATTTTTTCCAGGCAAAAAGGGTTGAAAGAGCTATGGCTGAGGGACGTCAGAGGACTGACTTGTCCTGGGAGCCAGGGAGAAAAAGAGCAGTATAGTTGGGTGAAGGGAGAGTAAGAGGCAAATAAAACTATAACCGTCCCTCAGCACCCATTGAAATTGGTTGCAGAACTACTGCAAAGACCAAAATCCAGGGTGTTCAAGTCCTGGATATAAAATGGTGTAGTATTTGCATATAACCTATGCACATCCTCCTGCAAAATTTAAATCATTTCTGGATTACTTATAATACCTAATACAATGTAAATGCCATGTAATAGTTATTATACTCTATTGAGTTTTATTTTTACTATTTTTTTAATGTTGTATTATTTTTATTTTTGTTTTTTCAAATATTTTCAATCTGCCGTTGGTTGAATTTGTGGATCAGATCTGTGGATACAGAGGGCTGACTATATTAAGAATGTCTAGGTGGGGTGCTGTAGCTCATGCCTGTAATCTCAGCACTTGGGGTGGCTGAAGAGGGTGGATCACCTGAGGTCAGGAGTTCAGGATCAACCTGGGGAACATGGTGAAACCCCGTTTCTACTAAAGATATAAAAATTAGTCAGGTGTGCCGGTGCATGCCTGTAATCCCAGCTACTCGAGAAGCTGAGGCAAGAGAATTGCTTGAACCCTAGCAGTGGAGGTTGCAGTGAGCTGAGATCACACCACTGCATTCCAGCCTGGGCAAAGGAGCCAGACTCCATCTCAGCGGGTGGATCACCTGAGGTCAGGAGTCTGAGACAAGCCTGGCCAACATGGCAAAACCCCGTTTCTACTGAAAGTACAGAAATTAGCTGGATGTGGTGGTGGACACCTGTAATCCCAGCTACTCAGGAGGCTGAGGCAGGAGAATAGCTTGAACCTGGGAGGCGGAGGTTGCAGTAAGTCAAGATGGTGCCACTGCACTCCAGCCTGGGCGACGAGAGTGAAACTCCGTTTAAAAAAAAAAAAAAAAGTCTAAGTGGATGACCTCTGAACTGAAGCCTTATTTTAGTTAATTAAAATAAGGTAAATAGTTATCATTCACTGAATTTGTGTATTTCCAGATTACGCAATAGTCAGTCATCCCTCTGTATGGGGTTGACGGTTGGCTCTAGGCCACCCTCTCCCCCACGACAATACCAAAATCCATGAACTACCAAGTCTGGCTACAGAACTCACAGATACAAAACATCAGGCCTTTGCATCAGTAGGCTCCTGCATCCCATCAATGCTGTATTTCTGATTCATGTTGGTTGAATTTTGGGGTGTGAAACTCAGTTATGGAGGGCTATTTATTGAAAAAACATCCACTTACAAGTAGATCCACGCAATTCAAACCTGTGTTGTTCAATGGTCAGCTGTAGTAGAATCTATGACAATGAAGTTTTTCTGCACTGGGCTCAGGTTTGGCCAGTGGTGTAGCTACTCTGCAGGATTTTGGTATCCTAAATCACACAGAAGTACAGTATTTGGAGCAGGGAAGACATAACCACCGTTAAAAAAATCATTCTCAGTTAATTTCATGCTTTTCATTAAAACTGGCACTTTAATCAAAGTGATGATCCTTGCACCATTCAATAGGGAATATTTCTGAGTCAATTCAATATTTGTAAGTTCATAATTTTTCCATATGATGTGCTACCTGTTGAGTACTTACGTACAATTCATTTGTAATTTCTTCCCCTTTTGATGTGAATTTAGGTGAGGAACCCTTCTGCTTCTTGAATTCTGGATGCAATAGAATCACAAACCTTTGCGTTTTTTCTTATCTGCACTGTTTAAAAATATTTTCCAGTGCTAAGAAAGCAGCTGTTGTCTTTAAGTCAAACTGCATACAAAGCACTGTGGCCATTAGAATGGAGACAAATTACTTCATTAGTAGAATACACCTCTCCTCAAGAGAACTAATCCTGGGGCTTATGTTTTTGGACATATTCTGAGAAAATCTCTTAAGACTACTGGATAGTCTGCTTTGTTTCATTGCTATTCTGATTTACATCATTAAAAAAAAAATGATGCGTCTACATGTTTGAGTATGTGATTCTCTGGTCTTTGTTTGGCAGATAATTTCTCTTTTATCCAGAATCTTTGAGCAATAATGCTTTTTGTCAAAGAAAGTTTATTGAACGTGTACATTAGCCATGTGTTAAAACAGGAGAAGGCTTGATATAATTAAGAACATTGGCCTTGGAGCTGTTATCTTGGCAGTCCAATACTTTGCTTCATTGCATTTTTTGTTGTTGATGTCCGTCCTCTTTCTTTCTAGGCTGGGAAGTGATGATACCCACTTTGAGCTTAGCATGGCCAACAATGGATGTGAAGTGCATCGTTTTGATCCTAGTGTCAAGTCAGCTCACATTCTGGAGAGTCAGCACCTTTGGTATCACCGCTTGTCCATCGACTGGCGGGATCCCCATCCAGCTGTTGCTGCCCAGAAACCACACAGCAACACCAGAAAACTGGGAAGCATTTTGAATGAATTTGGGCATCACAAGGTGAGATTTTTCATTTGATTTTATACTTGAATAAAGTGAACAAATCCATGAGCTTTTTAAAATGCAAACCAAGAATAGCAACATTGACATTAGATAGTTGAAGGTCCAGTTATTTTATTTTATTTTATTTTTTATTGTACTTTAAGTTCTGGGATACATGTGCAGATCTTGCAGGATTGTTGCATAGGTACACACATGCCATGGTGGTTTGCTGTCTCCATCCCCCCGTCACCTACATCAACCATTTCTCCCAGTTTTATCCCTCTCCAACCTCCCCACCTCCTGCCGCTCCTTCCCTGGCCCCCCACCCACTAACATACCCCTGTGTATAATGTTCCCCTCCCTGTGTCCATGTGTTTTCATTGTTCAGCACCTGCCTATGAGTGAGAACCCATGAGGTTTGGTTTTCTGTTCTTGTGTCAGTTTGCTGAGAATGATGGTTTTCAGATTCATCCCTGTCCCTACAAAGGACATGAACCCAGCATTTTTTATGGCTGCATAGTATTCCATGGTGTATATGTGCCATGTTTTCTTTGTCCGTCTATCAGTGATGAGCATTTGAGTTGGTCCAGGTCTTTGCTATTGTAAACAGCACCACAGTGGACATACATGTGCATGTGTCTTTATAATAGAGTGATTTCTAGTCCTTTGAGTATATGCCCAGTAATGGGATTGCTGGGTCAAGTGGAATCTCTATTTCTAGGTCCTTGAGGAATCGTCACACTGTCTTCCACAATGGTTGAACTAATTTACACTCCCACCAAGTTTTAATCTCACTAATCACCTAACATTAGAGAGTCAACTCTAGACATAAAGTGTTGGCAAAGATAGCGATATTTAAATTGATTTGAAGATTTTAGTTGCTGTTGAGTAATATTAATGGTCTTGGCCAAGACTAGGCAAGAAGACTAAGAAACTTATTTCTGGCATAGGCTGAAGAATACCATTTTCGTTTGGCAACTGATTTACACTTTCCGGAAAGAGCAAACTACTTATACTGACCTCAAATACAAAAAAATAATTGGGGTTGTGTTTAATAAGATATTGCTGTGTATCATGTTACTCACTGTTGTTACACGTTTCTCACTATTTTGAACCTCTAGGCTCTATAAAGAAAATATGTATAACTTCGATTAAAATTTACCTTATAAAATTGAATGGACATTATGTATCTCTGCAAACATTTTATTATGAATGAACAGCAAAAAAGAAACTCAATCTTCGAACTGTGTTCTTTGAAAGCAATTTTTAGTATAGCATACCCGAGCTGATTGTATTCTGTAGGTAGATACTAGGGAATTTCTCCTGAGTGTAGTTGGCTTGTGTTTGATCTTCAGCCCTTCTTGGGTTTGGCTATTTTGGCCTGTGTTCCCAGCCAGAGATGCCATATAATTTAGAACAGATCTCAATGGGTGTTTCTATTTGAGAAACAGTGTGCATGAGACTCAATTTTAAACTTGAGATGGCTTCTTGATCTTCAGCAAGAGGCTTTTCCCCACATTGTTGTTCCTCCTCCTCCTCTTCCCCATCTTCCTCCCTTTTCTCCCTTTCCTTTCTTCATCTTCCTCTTCCTTCTCCTTCCTCCCTCTCTTCTTCTTCCTCCTTCTCCTTCTTCCTTTAAACAACCTTTAATTCGATAGCCCATGCTTCATCAAGAACAACTTCAAAAAATTTGCTATTCTTTTAACACACTATTAACTATTGATTTGTACCTTGCTTTGCCACCAAGAGTAACTGGTGGCATTTAATAGTCAAGAGCCTTAGTGAGGCACATGGAGGATTTTTGGGTAAAATCTCAGAACAGAATTCCTTTTTACATACTGTTAATGTTTTTCACATGTGTGGGAAGAAGCAGGAGCATTTTTCAGAACTTTACTTAGGGTTTTGTTTTTTTCTTTTCTGTTGTTTGCTACCTTTGTAGCTTGGTTTTTTACTGCTGAAAATTACAGGCCTGTTTCTCTAATATGTCAGCTTTAGATTATTCAAAGAGCTAAGTATTTATTCTTTGTGCTCAGTTAGGAGTCTTGCTGTTCCTCTTTTATGCTGTTCACATCCTAGCCTTCTCCAACCCCACTCTTCAAAGAAAAGACTGAGTAGGAAAGAGAGAAACTCAATGCCATTTTGCTTATTTTTTTCCTAATAATATTTTAGCAAAAGATTTGGTAAAGGTGAGGATAAAATAAGACTTTGAAAAAGTGATCTGCGGATATAATTTATCTAACCACGTTTCCTATGGGAAATGTATTTTTAGGTAACAAGATATGTACCTGAATTGTGTTTGTTTAGCTGCAGTGAACAAACCCTTATGCTAAGGGTAAAGCATGAGGCCTTTTGCAATGCTGCTCCTGAGATAGTAGAAATATTTACAGTGATGTCTAAAAAGCAGAAATGCTTTAAAGGATTGCTTATGTTTCTAAGGCTACTTATTTTATTTTATTTTTTAAAGTTTACAATGAACGTGATCTGGCACAGAATTGCCAGGAATGTATTTGTTCCTTTTTTTTTTTTTTTTAATTTTTGTTGAAGATACTGCCATTCTTCCCTAGAGATTTTTTTTTTTTTTTTTTTTTTTTTTTTTTTTTTTTTTTTTGGTGACTGCTTTAAAACAAAAACAACAAAACTAAACCCATGAATGATTGCTTTCCTTAGGAACATGCTTCTAGGAGCTATGCGGGGCCAGATAAATGGAAACCTTTTTTGTGGCATGCAGCAAGCATGGTCTGTTTTCATTTTTCTGCACATGTGCAGACAGTGGTAAATAGGATGTGGCTGTGGCAGGGGAAGCAGATAGAAAAAAACACAGTAAGAAATGTCAGCGTTTCTGCCTTGACACCTTCATTCATTTATTCTGAAAGTGAGTGTAGAAACCAAAGCATTTTGTTTTCATTTCATATCTTTAAAATATCTCATATAGTTTTGTAATAATTTTCCTACTCAGCTGTTAGTTTTCCTTTTCTATATATCCATACCTGGATTCCAGCCACTCAAGCAAAATATGGGCAAAAATGAAAGCAATCTTCTGAGATAGTGACAGAAAGATGCATATGGCTTTCGTACTACTTTTAAAACTCTTTGGTAATTTTAACTTCAAACTATAAATCAAAAGCCTTTTCTAAAGCATTGGGTTAGAGCAGCTGCATCAGCAAAACCACGTGGACCAGAAGCCCAGTCTGTCAGGGAATAATATCACTTGGATCCAGCATTACATGAAATGATTAACTGTCTACTCTTTGCAGAAGTGGTTATTGTTAACTAAGCACACAATTTTTTTCAGACTGCAACTAGAAATATTGAATCTGAAGTTTCTGCTCATATTAATCATAATATTTTTTTTAAAAGTCTTTGTTACTTTAGATTTTGTTACACTCAGAGTATCCTCAATGATCCAAGCTAGTTAATGAGGAATTATAACTATTATTTTTGGTCTTAACCATGCTGCTGATAACTCTGAATAACAGAGCTGCCTGAGGGTTTCCCTATCTAAGCTCATCAATCTAGGTTTGAAGCTTGGTCCTCTTGTTCGCTTTTGGTGTTGGCAGACTCACTTAACCTCTCTGGTGCTCAGTTTGATTGTCAGCTAAGTGAGGACGATGATACTTTCTAAACTGTGGGTTGTGTTTGAGAAGTAGATCTGAGCACACAGTGTGAAAGTCTCCAGCAGAATGCCTGGTATGAATTAGTCACTCAATTGTTTTCGGTAAATTCAAAGGGTTTTTATTAACAATTTTAGTAAATTTTATAGAAAACTTTTTCTTTTTCTTTCTTTCTTTGTTATCAGGGAAATGTACATCAGAGATTTCTCTGGAAATTGCTAACTGTACCTAGTTCCAGTCAAGAGTTTTTAATGAGAGCTCTGTGTGAAACTGAAAGGCAATTGGTCTTTCAGATGTGGTTGTAGAGAAAATATTGTTTGCTGCCTTCAGGCGCTGAACAGCTTTGAGGGTGACTGTATAGAAAGTAAATACTGTGCTGTATAGAAATTAAATAAACTGCTGACAGTTAATTGAGATTTATTCCATACAGAACAGATGGATCTTGGGGCTGGGGCCCTCTGGTCAGATGCCCTGGGAGAGCTGGCCTCCCTGTCTGTCAGCTCAGGGAACTGTGTCTTCCTTCACCTGCCCCTGTCACCACTCAGGACATGGCTCAGTGTCCACTCGGACCCTCACAGGACTACCAGTTTCTGCCTCTCTTGGCTGGGAGCTCACCATTGATTACAGAACACCAGTTTTGTTGTGCATTCACTATGATTACATTTGAGAGCATATGGGCTTTGAAATGAAATTACACAGCTGGGGCAACATAGTGAGATCCCATCTCTACAAAATATTTTAAAAATTAGCTGGGCATGGTAGCATGCTCTTGTAGTCCCAGCTACTTGGGAGGCTGATGTGGGAGGAGTGATTGAGTCCAGGAGTTGCAGGCTGCAGTGAGTCATGATCACTCCGCTGTACTCCAGCCTGGGTGACAGAGCCAGATCCCTCTCAAAAAAAAATAAAAGGAAAAAAATTAAAGATTCACTCTTTTTTTTTTTTTTTTTTTTTTTTTTTACTTATCAAATTGCTAAACGTAAACAAGATATTGATACTGCCCTGTATTGGAATGCTTGTTGGAAATAATACACTTTGCTGCTAGAAATGGAAAATAATATACTCTTTCAGGAAGATTTGACCAAATGTATATAGTGTGTCAGTTTTTATTTCTAGAAATATTTTTTGCCTTAAATTCTGTTTTATCTGATGTTAGTTCTGCATACTAGCTCTCCTTTGATAAGTATTTACATGAAATAACATTCTAGATTATTTTCATTCTTTTGATATAGTTTTAGTTTATGTATGGCTTATAAGAGACATGTATTCAACTATGTCTGGATTGTGTTTTTAAACCCAACTTGATAATATCTTTACACGGGTGTGTTTAATTCTTTTATATTTATATTTATAGGGATTACTGGCATATTGGGAATAATTTCTACTCTTTTAAATTGGGCCTTTGGTTTT